TTAGGAGCTAAACATGTTTCATACAAAATGTTTTATGGTTTTTGATTGGTTATATGAAATTATCTTTGCCACGACCAACCCTTAACCTTTTGTTTTCAGTGTGAGCGTAGGGGTCGGTCGTGCCGTACAAACAAAATATTTCTACTCTATAGACAGAGTGAACTGACAATCTTTCGTAAAAGCTCAGAAACGATATCTCTGACTCTTTGAGCTTCAGGCGCAACGTTTGACTGTCCTTTACTGATTTCTATGTTCACACACAATCCAAGAACACAGCAAAACGATGAATAATTGGACAATATTTGAAATACACGTGCGAATAAAGTTGGGCACGACCAAAGGAAAATATTCGACGATTGAGCATGCGTACGACGCAATGCAGCTTTATATATTATTAATAATTTATGTTTTTGTCGTTCTCGCCCATAGACTATGTTCTCGCCTGATCAGAGCACGACCAAAGGAAAATATTCGACGATTGAGCATGCGTACGACGCAATGCAGCTTTATATATTATTAGTAATTTATGTTTTTGTCGTTCTCGCCCATAGACTATGTTCTCGCCTGATCAGAACACGACCAAAGGAAAATATTCGACGATTGAGCATGCGTACGACGCAATGCAGCTTTATATATTATTAATAATTTAATAGGATTTTGTGATAAAAGCTATCGCAAACAAAATCGCACGGATAGAGTGCTCAATGCCACGGCAGAGCGGTATAATTGAAAATAAAATAAACCACGAATTACTTCATAAGAATTTATTCCCTACAGAACTGTTTCGTATGGCAGTTGTTTCCGAATTACTTCATAAGAATTTATTCCCTACAGAATTACTTCATAAGAATTTATTCCCTACAGAACTGTTTCGTATGGCATTTATTCCCTACAGAACTGTTTCGTATGGCAGTTGTTTCCGAATTACTTCATAAGAATTTATTCCCTACAGAACTGTTTCGTATGGCATTTATTCCCTACAGAATTACTTCATAAGAATTTATTCCCTACAGAATTACTTCATAAGAATTTATTCCCTACAGAACTGTTTCGTATGGCATTTATTCCCTACAGAATTACTTCATAAGAATTTATTCCCTACAGAACTGTTTCGTATGGCAGTTGTTTCCGAATTACTTCATAAGAATTTATTCCCTACAGAACTGTTTCGTATGGCATTTATTCCCTACAGAATTACTTCATAAGAATTTATTCCCTACAGAACTGTTTCGTATGGCATTTATTCCCTACAGAACTGTTTCGTATGGCATTTATTCCCTACAGAATTACTTCATAAGAATTTATTCCCTACAGAACTGTTTCGTATGGCATTTATTCCCTACAGAACTGTTTCGTATGGCAGCAGAACTGTTTCGAAACAGTTCTGTAGGGAATAAATTCTTATGAAGTAATTCGTGGTTTATTTTATTTTCAATTATTAGTAATTTATGTTTTGGTCGTTCTCGCCTGATCAGAGCACGACCAAACTCGGGCTGACTATACCCATTTTAACAGGCCGTGAGGTTTTCCAGCCAATCAGCGCTTAGGAATATATAATTTGGTCGTGCTGGTCTGAGTAGAGGACGACCAAAAACGGGCGAACGCCCTTCCATTTGCTTTTAGTCAATAAATAGGGCAGACGTCGGGCAAAAACGTAAAACGTAAACATATAGTGAAAGTAATATGAAGTACAAATCACAAAATGCAAATAAAGCATAATAAATCGATTTTGTTTTCGCTAATATCTGTCAACATTAAAAACAAATATTAAAATTTTAGTGGGTAAATAAAACCTTAGTTTGAAAAATGTTTGGTCGTGCTCAGCACAACCAACACGACCTCTAGCTATGCCACTGTGTGGATGGTTTGTTGAAATTAAGAATTTCCACCCAGTGGTCGCATTTTCTTTGTGTATTATAACTTGTTTCTATACTTAAGTACATTATAAAGTAAATGGTTTGAACCTGGGAATGTCGTTACATGTTTGTAGATGTAGATCGTCCAGGTTGTTAAGTCCTGAGAAGGACTGTTGGTGTTGATGTAGACTGACGTTTCGACAACCTTAGCGGTAGTCATCTTCATAGTCAAATGTTTTTGGAAGTCAGAGTCAAAAGTTACTTCACTCTGAGGATGACTACTGCTAAGGTTGTCGAAACGTCAGTCAACAACAACAAAAACAGTCCTTCTCAGGACTATACCAACCTGGACAATCTACATTTACAAACATTTAACGATATTATGTTGTTCTTCATCAGCTTGGAAAAGATTTGGACAGTACAGCATGTTCATGAGAGATCAAAGAATGCCCATGTGTCTCAAAAGGAAGATCATGAACACTGTCATACTACCAGCAATGACTTATGGAGCAGAGACGTGGGCACTTACCAACCATCAAAGAGAGAAACTGGCAATCACCCAAAGAAGTATGGAAAGATCAATGCTCGGTGCCACGAGGAGAGATAAGATCCGGAATGAAGACCTGAGAGCAAGAACAAAGGTGAAGGATGTCATCGAGAAAGTTAATGAAGCCAAAGGAAAGTGGGCAGGACATCTAGCCCGAATGAAAAACCATGAATGGGCAAAGAAAACATCTGAATGGACCCCGTGGGACAAGAAAAGAGGCAAGGGAAGACCAAAAAGGAGATGGAGAGATGACATCGAGCAGAGAGCGGACAGCATGTGGATCCAGAGAGCCCAAGACCGTGAAGAGTGGAGAAAGATGTGGAGGCCATCCGCCAGCAGTGGCGTGACAGGCTGATGATGATGATGATGATGATGATGTTGTTTTTATACTTTAGTACATCACGATGGTTAGGTATAAAAAATAAAAAGCCTTTAAAAGCAATTTTATTGTGTGATAAGAAATTTTGAGCAAAAGATAATCATTGTCTACAATGATCTACCAGTGATCCTATCTATAAAAATGCAATGTTCCTGTCAAATTTTGTAGCAAGTGGTAGACAGGAAGCCAAAAATAAAATATTGTCACAGCGCAAACTATAGTCAACATACTTGTGTTCTTTTCACTGATTTGCACGCAGAAATTAGAAATACTTTTTGAGCAAACCTCATTGTTGGCTATAAAATAACACTATCATTATTAGCTTGTTTTGAAACAATTATGTTGGAATGAGTTGATAATAGCACTGAAAAAAATAAAAATCAATAACGACGTAAATAAAAATACAGATCATTACGAAATAGATTTAAAAAAACTTACAAATTTTCACACATTTTTTATTAGTAGATAACAAGTATGGTTGTTTTTGAACGATTATTGAGTGGTTAAAACAAAATATTTTTTTGAGTTTTATACAAATCTGTTTATAATACAAAATTTACATAATCTGTTTCTTTCTATGAATACTACTTTATGTTGAAGTTGACGATGATTTAAAGTTTTTCTTGAGTTGATGGAACATTCAAAACAAGGTCTTCCTCCAACATTTCCATCGAAGATTCAAATTCTTCAGAAAAAGTCTCTTGAATGGGTAAATTTAGAATTGGTTGAGTATTTCCACCATCTTCCATACTTTCATTTTCTAATGCATTGTCGTATCTTTCGTTGCCATCTTCTAGCCCATCACAACTATCTTCTTTAACGTTATTTTCTTGTTCAGCACAGAAATTTTTACCTTTGTCGTTCATCTTTTTGTAAAGGACGATCTAAAGATAATTACAATAGGGAAAGAGTCATCATTTCGACTCTTCTACAAATGGAAATGCTGGTTTTTACGCAAAGAATTACGTTAATGGTGTACGATTTACATGATGCTTATACCTGTAAAAAAATATTTTCCAATTTTGCGCAAAAGAAATGAAGCAAGAATGTAAGATTTAGGATAATTATATTTTATTTCACATGGTCATGCTAATAATAAATTAAAATCGTCACGATTTTTTGTTACATCACCTTAAGTACATATGGTTTGGATCGTAAGCGTAGGAAAACATGTTTTTAAGAAGTGTTAAATAAATTACATTAGTAACTGCTACCTTTTTTTTAAAGCCAACTTCACGAATATTCACGAATAAAAATCCAGTCGATTGTCCAGTTTAACGCGCTTGAGGACTTCAAACACCAATGAATGTTCAGTGATTTTATACATCTCTATATACACAAATGAAACATTCTATCATGTGTTTCGTCATACCTCGTCATACACGAACGGAATTTCCGCACTTATTTCCATCAATATTGAGGATAATATTTATGGAACGGAACCATCAATATTAATGAATATAGTCTCCCGTGTTTTATGATTACAAACATTTGTGTGGACAAACCTTTGTTTTGTTTGGTGATTGTTTCAAACTTCGCGCCTAGAAATATTACAAATATTAACAATATATATACCACCTAACGTGCCTAGATAAAAGATCTTTTTGGTTGAGTCTGTGTGTAATCACTATGTAGCAAAAAATGGTCACGTGATATAAAAGTATAACCATTACATCCGTATATATCCGTATCTTTAATATTGTCATGTTCTTATTCTTGTTCTTGTTCTTGTTCGTGTTCTTGCTCTTGTTCTTTGTCCTTTAATATTGTCATGTTCTTGTTCTTGTTCTTGTTCGTGTTCTTGCTCTTGTTCTTTGTCCTTTAATATTGTCATGTTCTTGTTCTTGTTCTTTGTCCTTTAATATTGTCATGTTCTTGTTCTTGTCCTTAACTTAGGAGCTAAACATGTTTCATACAAAATGTTTTATGGTTTTTGATTGGTTATATGAAATGCTCTTTAATAGGTATTACATATAATTGGACAACTGTTTTTCTATTGTGTCTGTTGACATAAAATTGTTAGTTTTAACAGAAATAGGCCTTCATAGAGATCAGAAATGTAAAAATCTTAAAATGATTTAAACTTATTCAGGAAAGAGGTCATTATTATATTTTATAATTCTAACTAACATTTTTATTTGACTTGATGGGGTACTCTAGGAAGCACGGCAAATCTTTGGCTCGTGGTCGATGGTAATTATCGGAATTAGCTGGAAAAACTACGTCAGAGGTCTGGTACCGACACAGAGACGCCATTCTAGTCATTTCTTTCTGGATAGTACGCCGTCCATTGAAGCTCCTCAGTTCACAGTTTTATAAAAATTGCCAAATACCAGCTGTTATCCTTCTGTAAAAGTAAGTAAACATTCTTAGTTAACGTTAGAATGGAGTTTTGTAAATTTTTATGAATTCAGACAACAATATTCGTCGTCGTTTCCATAATGAAAGCGAAACCAATGAAAAATGTATTTGTAATTGCAACTATGTTCAACGCATTTGGGTATAATTGTGACAGTTTTCATCATACAAAGAAAATTGTACTGGGCTGTCGTCAATAGCTTCAAATATCGATTTTTTGAACGGTTTTATGCGCCGTATCCTGGTGTCAAAACGTTGACGACCTAACATCTATGTACTTATTAGGAACGTGAAAATAATTCAACCAGTTATAACCAGGAGGCGTCAATTTCCTGAACACTTAACACTTTAAACATCGAAACATGTTTTATAATATTTAAGTTACGCTTAAGTGAGAATTGTGTGATAAGTTTTGAAGTATGTATTGGCTCTTTTGCCTTGATTGTAACAAATCTATTGCGCACAAAGGCATATAAAGTTCCCCTGAGTGAAAATAATTTGGTGTAAAATTATCGTGTTGAAACTTTCAAAGTCATTATTATGGATCAAAAATTACTTGTAGCTTGTTTTTTAATACATTCTGAATTTTTTGAAAATAATTAATTCATTCTTTGGTATTTGGTTATAAATGATGTAGCCACAAAGCACAAGTGTTCATCACTTCCTCATAACTGTGGTCCATTGGAGCATGTTACATTTGATTTAAATTTTCCGTTTGATATTTCGAAGTTTTTGCAATAGTTGAAATGTTTATCGTAAGTCACGATCAAAGTTACTTATTCGTTGGATGAAAAACTATCTCAACAAAAATTTCAAATACATGAGGCAAAGTTACGCAAAATAACGTTTCCCACAACGGAAGGTTCATGTTTGTACTAAAATATGCACAACACTAAAGATATATACTTTTCCGTTAGATTCAATGTCGTGAAACCTTCGTATAGCGATTCCTTCATAAGCTTTGAAGGAATTTTAATGCAAATAAACGTTTACAACTGTAGCCATTGTGAATGTGAACGTATCGACGTTTTCGCTTTAAATATTTGAAAGGTTTCTAATTAATGTTATTCATTTTTTCTTTGTTATTTTTGTAAGAGTATCTATGATAAAATAAAGATATGATCTTATAAACATAAGTTAGAAAACATCCTTTCATAAGTATCTATGATGTTCTTTAGAATGCCTCCTTGTTTGTCAAAATCTGTAATGAGAGACGTCTACTGCATTTATCCACAAAAGAATAATGCTGTACCACAATACAACCAATGAATGCCTCCGTGTTTATCAAAATCAATAATGAGAGACGTCTACACCATTTATCCACAAAAGAATAATGCTGTACCACAATACAACCAATGAATGCCTCTGTGTTTGTCAAAATCAATAATGAGAGACGTCTACACCATTTATCCACAAAAAGAATAATGTTGTACCACAATACAACCAATGAACGTCTCCGTGTTTATCAAAATCAATAATGAGAGACGTCTACACCATTTATCCACAAAAGAATTATGCTGTACCACAATACAACCAATGAATGCCTCCGTGTTTATCAAAATCAATAATGAGAGACGTCTACACCATTTATCCACAAAAGAATAATGCTGTACCACAATACAACCAATGAATGCCTCCGTGTTTATCAAAATCAATAATGAGAGACGTCTACACCATTTATCCACAAAAGAATAATGCTGTACCACAATACAACCAATGAATGCCTCCGTGTTTGTCAAAATCAATAATGAGAGACGTCTACACCATTTATCCACAAAAGAATAATGTTGTACCACAATACAACCAATGAATGCCTCCGTGTTTATCAAAATCAATAATGAGAGACGTCTACACCATTTATCCACAAAAGAATAGTGCTGTACCACAATACAACCAAACGATCACTGCTATGTTCCAAAATAGACCTGAGCGAAGTCCTTTCGCTAAAACTGATATGTAAGATAATGTGAGCTTGCTTTACATGTCGAATGAGTTGGTTAAAAAAGAGATCATGAAAAGTGAAGGAGAAAATGTACTCTTGTTTATTCTCTCTCATCTTGATGATCAATCAATGACAGTTTTACTTAGAACCTACGTTAAGAAATTTTTCAACTGTACTATATTTACGAATGACGCCTTTCCTCTTTTTCCGTACAATGAAAACTACCTAAACCGTTGGTTTACGCAGAATTTTTCACATTTTAATGATGCAGTAACGGAATTAATCAAGAAGTAGAGATTTTTAATGCAAGTAACAAAGATGAAGCAATTAGATGCATTAAGAAGGTTGAAAGTTTGAAGAAGGAAGAAGACGAAAATACTGAGTTATATTTCCATGGCACTGATCATTCGTCTGCTCAGAATATTCTTAAGAATGGTATTAAATTAGGTAAAGGTCGTGAAAAGTGTGACTTGTCGCATAATTATGGTTTCTACATGGCAAATGATTATGAATACTCGTTAACGCTATATTCTAATATAACAGAAGCAGCCCTTCTCATTTTTTGTTTACGCCCAAATAATTTGAAAGGTTTCCAAGAATTGTAATAGGAGAGCAATAAACAAGACTTTGGTACAGTTACTCCATACTTTACGGCTGGAAGGATAGGCTGTAAAGGTTACATGAGCAGGGAACTATTTTCAGAATTAGACAAGTGCGATTATATCAAAAGTTCAATTACTAGTGATGGTCGTTCAGCAGGTGACCAAAAGGAAGATATTCTGCAGGTTTGTGTAAAGAAACACAAAATGGCTGAGACAAAGAGCAATAGACAAGACTTTGTTTCAGTTACTCCATACTTTAGGGCTGGAAGGATAGACTGTAAAGGTTCCATGAGCAGGGAACTATTTTCGGAATTAGAAGTGCGATTACATCAAAAGTCCAATTACAGGTGATGGTCGTTCAGCAGGTGACCAAAAGGAAAGATATTCTGCAAGTTTGTGTGAAGAAACACAAAATGGCTGAGGCAATGAGCGGTTCTCCATCATTGGTGGGTGCAGTTTTTATAAAGCCTGATTCTGAAGAGAACGATTCGTTGATGGGTTTGGGCTGTAAAGGTTCCATGAGCAGGGAACTATTTTCGGAATTAGAAGTGCGATTACATCAAAAGTCCAATTACAGGTGATGGTCGTTCAGCAGGTGACCAAAAGGAAAGATATTCTGCAGGTTTGTGTGAAGAAACACAAAATGGCTGAGGCAATGAGCGGTTCTCCATCATTGGTGGGTGCAGTTTTTATAAAGCCTGATTCTGAAGAGAACGATTCGTTGATGGGTTTGGGCTGTAAAGGTTCCATGAGCAGGGAACTATTTTCGGAATTAGAAGTGCGATTACATCAAAAGTCCAATTACAAGTGATGGTCGTTCAGCAGGTGACCAAAAGGAAAGATATTCTGCAAGTTTGTGTGAAGAAACACAAAATGGCTGAGGCAATGAGCGGTTCTCCATCATTGGTGGGTGCAGTTTTTATAAAACCTGATTCTGAAGAGAACGATTCGTTGATGGGTTTGGGCTGTAAAGGTTCCATGAGCAGGGAACTATTTTCGGAATTAGCGTGCATTAAAAGTCCAATTACAAGTGATGGTCGTTCAGCAGGTGACCAAAAGGAAAGATATTCTGCAAGTTTGTGTGAAGAAACACAAAATGGCTGAGGCAATGAGCGGTTCTCCATCATTGGTGGGTGCAGTTTTTATAAAGCCTGATTCTGAAGAGAACGATTCGTTGATGGGTTTGGGCTGTGAAGGTTCCATGAGCAGGGAACTATTTTCGGAATTAGAAGTGCGATTACATCAAAAGTCCAATTACAGGTGATGGTCGTTCAGCAGGTGACCAAAAGGAAAGATATTCTGCAGGTTTGTGTGAAGAAACACAAAATGGCTGAGGCAATGAGCGGTTCTCCATCATTGGTGGGTGCAGTTTTTATAAAACCTGATTCTGAAGAGAACGATTCGTTGATGGGTTTTGAATCATTTGTATATTGAAAACACCATTTTGAATCATATGCTTAGCAATGGCCTGTTCATGTGTATTTAACTTCTTCAACTGGGAGGCAACAAGCATTCCAAATAAATCATTTTCATCTTTTTCCATGTTTTGTTTTCGTTTTGATGCTTAATTGCTTTTTGCATTGTACGAAGAAACTCTATTTCTTCTTGCTCAACATCAACTTTTGTCTTTGACCACTTTTTATGTCCAGTTGCATCAGATATATCAGTAATCTTATCATCAAATACTTCATCTGGCTCCATTCGTTGACAGTCAATGTCTTCATTTAGTAAGCTGACTTGCTTAATTTCATCATTGGTTAACAAACTACAATTACTTGTCGAGCCGCTGCCGGTATTTGATACTGACAAACTAGTTTTTGTTGCTCCACACTTTATGTATGGTACTAACCACTGTAGAAAATTATAGTCCTCCAATTTTGTTTTAGAGAAAACAACAGCTGACGGAGATGTTCCAGATTTATTTACTTTTTTAAAGTCATTTCTTTGCTTGCTGAATCTTTTTTTAAATTTTCAAACAATTTTTTCGCTCGCTCACCAATTATTAAAGTAAATGGTTTGAACCCGGGAGTATCGTTACATGTTTGTAAATGTAGATCGTCCAGGTTGGTATAGTCTTGAGAAGGACTGTTTTTGTTGTTGTTGACTGATGTTTCGACAACCTTAGCGGTAGTCATCTTCAGAGTCAAATGAAAATTGTTTTACGTTCCAATAGATTCAGATTTTCTGCCACTTTTGCCTAAACATTTGCCACGCCAAATTTGTCTTTATAATCCTTATATGTTTTATCATACAAGCAGGGAATCTTACGCACTTTCTCGGCCAACTTTCTGGGTTAAGTGATTGAACACATGTTGAATCCGCCATTTTATACTACAAAATTTTCATTCAAGATGACGTCATTTTGGCGATTAACGCGAATAAATATCAAAAATTATATCGCGTTTGTTAGTTTCCGTTTATTGCGATTATTACCACGTTCCCATATGGGATTATCGCGTTTAAAGTTAATCGCTGTCGCGTTTTCGTGTTAAGCCAAAAGTGGAAAAAAGGCTTAAAAGATCATAGCTCTCGACCAATGAAATTGCTCAATTTCTTCTGGTTATTATATAATTATACATAGTCAATGGCGCGTATATTTATAGTCTTTGTTATTGTGAAATTGGGAGTTGAGAGAATTTGCTTTGAATTGTATTCAAAGCTTCAAATTTTCGACAATGACTTCACGAAAGCGTTGCTACAATGGATTAAAACATGGAAAACAACATATGATATTATTTTTCATTTTATTCGGCGTACTTTGTGGATTTTTACTCGGTTCTTTATTGCATGGCAATGTTCAGTCGTCCATAGATCCAACACCGAAGGAATATGCAATGTACGTGTCTTTTCTTGGTGAGATTTGGGTGAGAGCTTTAAGACTTTTGGTTCTTCCTTTGATTGTATCCAGCTTGCTTTTGGCAGTCGCTGAATTGGAGTCAAAACAGAGCGGAAAATTGGGAAGAACATTGCTTTATTGTCTTATGACTACAATGTTTGGGGAGTAATTTGTTTATTTGCATTTAACCTGGAAATGTTAACGTGAAAGAACCAGAACCGAACGAAGAAAACGTTGAACCAATACATTCTGTGCTTGATCTAATAAGGTTTGTGCTAAATATTGATAAATTCACTGATTTTGCGCCATGCTTCTGCTTTCACTGCGAAAATTTTCTTATACGTATAAGTTATATTTCTATAAGTTAACGTCAATGCTTTTTACTTTTTTTAAAGGCAACTTTATATACTATAACGTAAATGCTACGTTCGCTAAACTGTGCAAGTGTACGAGATTTTCGAGCTCATACGGAAATCGCGTTATCGCAATATTCACTAGATTCTTAATCTTCTATTTGTGACAAATTGCCTTAAGTACAAGAGGTGGCTATAACTTTTTATACATTATTATATTCATATTTGACACTTTTTTTACTATGCTATACGAACCATAACTACCAAAGTGATCAACACCACAAGATCGTAAACGAGAACTAAAACGAAAAGAACTAAACGATATTTTAGTTTAGTGATAAACGCCACTATTAACTATTATATGTTCTATTTTCTACGCGGTTAAACCTCGAATGTGTAAGCCTGTAAGGGTGCCTTTAAAAATGGACGGGTCTTCTATAATCGCTCCTCACACACTCAATTTCACAACTCTTTGAGACCTTGAGTTGAAGGTTTATTGAAATTTTTGAATTTCAAAGTCATTGTTCTAAAGGCTATGTTTCAGATTAACTTATCCATTTTAAATCGTTTTACTTCACAGCTTTTAACCTTTTAATAACGAGATCATTGTTAAG